ACATGGGTCTGTCGACGTCCAGGCCATCGTCGCCCATGCTGCACCACCACCGCGTCCCTTCAGCCAGGGGCAAGAACCGCGACGATTAATCTGGGGGACGTTTCCGACGTGTCACCGTGACTAGAACGAATATAAAGGTCTGTTTTTTTACGAATGGAACGTTGCGTTGGAACGGTTGGAGTCGAGGGATGGATTTCGAAGGTGGGAAGATGGGGGGGAAAGTAACAAAAAATGGGTTGGATAATAAAAGGATCGGAAAGGGGGCGAGAGGGTGGTTTGGTTCTGCTTCTCTTTTTTGCGATTTTCCCCGGAATATTATGGGCATCTTGGGTCCCTGGAAATAGAGTCCGGCTTGCACTCGCACGCACACCACACTACAACCGCCATCACCACAACCACCACACACTCCACACCACAGTATCATCAACAGCGATACCCGGCTGAGCCGCAAGGCAGGCACAAGGTGCATTGTACATGGAACGGGCGCGGCTCCGCCAGACAGGGAGTTGGAGCCGCCAGCCTTTTGAAGTTTGTTTATATCTGCGAAAGAAGATGTTTCTTTGGAGCTGGGATTGATGTGTGGGTATACAGCGCTAGCCGCTCACAAATACAACCATGTTCTCTAGGTCGTGAGTGGTGTGTTTTGATCATGACAGGTGTGTTTCTGGGATAGGTGTGCAGCTCGAGCAACAGGCACGATATCTATCATTTTGATGGTTACGCCTAATTACACTGACTGGGACTCTTTCCACTCTATCAGGAACTGATTCTCTCATACAGAATATGCCGCGTCTGGCAGTAGTAAACATGAAATCGTAACATAGGAGCGAAACCCCCCAAAAACGAGCGCCAAAACAATGGAAATTCTTCAAATCTCAATGGCCTTTTCGGCCGTCACGACTGTCCCGGCAATCTCCTCGCAACTCGCCCACACGAAGATGGTCTGGCCCGGCAGAGCCTCTTGCACCGGAAAAACCAGCTCCTTGGCGGACATCAGCCCTCCAGCTCGCCCCCTCCAAAAGAACACAAGCTTGCCGTCGGTCGTCTCTGCGGCCAGGTTCACCATAGGCACTGAACCCTTCCATGTGGGCAGCTCAGCGTTCGAACAGCCCAACACCACCCTCACGATAAGGCCACGCTCGTGGTCTCTCTTGGGGATATCGAGATGGAGCACCAGCCGGGGAAAGTGCCCCAGAATGCGGACAATCTTCTGCCCAAAGGGAGGGTTCCGAGAGAGCAGCCGCTCAATGTGGAAGAACTCAAGCTTCGCAAGCTGGCGGACGGTTCTGATGCCGTGCTCGACAAGAACCTCAACCTTTTTCGGGCCGATGTCAGGGACCTGGAGCAGCTCCGTCGGCATGCCCTCCCAGCTGCCCGCGGCGACGGCGCGCCAGAGTTCGAGGGTCCGGCGTAGCCCGGCGGCGTCCTTCCGCGTGGCGGCCCCCATGATGTCGGCACATGCGCGGAGGACATGACCGAGCGTCTTGACAATGCGGGGTTTCGTGGCGAGGAGGTCCTGGCGAGCGGCGAGGGGGAGACGGTCGCCGTAGTCGCGGCCGGCGGCCTCGCACTGGGCGACGAGGTAGACCTTCTGCCAGGGCTGGGCGAGGGTCTCGCGGACGGGCCAGCGGGTGGAGGGGTCGTTGTTGATGCGGGAGAAGGCGCCCTTCTCTTGGGGGTGGAAGGTGAAGGAGCGGAACTCGGTGGCGGAGGAGGCGCAGCGGAGGATTTCCTCGGGGGGAGGCGCGCGCGGCAGGCGGGTGAGGGCGTGGATTGTTGGTGGTGAGAGCTTGTGACGGAGCATGATGGTGTGGTGCTCTGGGGAGAGTTGGACGGGGTGCTTGGGGGCGGGTTGGCTTGACGAAGCGGGGCCTTTGGCCTGCGAAGGCTGTGAGGCAGTCGGAGGAGGCATCGTTGTGTCGATGGTGAGGTGAATGAGAGCAAAAAGTGAAGCGGAAGACTGGGCCGAGATGGATACTTCAGAGTGCGGTGTTGATGGCGCCGAGAAGATGCTCCTTCCGTCCTCGTGACCTTGGCTCATGCCTCTCTGATGTTGATGGTAGATAGGGCAGGTCCAGACAGCGAGCAACTGCTCCTTCTTTCAAACTCATTTTGCATGTTGCAGGAGCGTACCTTCTCTTCACCCCTAGCAGGATCCTGGAAGTGGCTAAACGATAGACATGAGGCAGGCAGGTAGGTGACTTGGGAGAAAAGCTACCCGATTTAGTCTGGATATCCATCTATTCATGCTGCTACATGGAAACTGATATTGACTCTATGTTGTGGGCGACCGAAGATCTACACCCACCTAGTCAGACGTATCCAACGGCTTTCTAGAGGAGAAACCAACTGGCCTGCCCGTCCTAGAGCAACTGATTTTCCTGTGTGCTGGCTCCCATCGTCGCCTGTATCATTGTTGCTGTCGCTACTATCGGCTTCTCTATTGTTGTCGTGGTCGTCGACTTGGTAAGGGAGAAGACCAAGAAGGGGAATAAGTCAAAGCCAAGATATGAGCCGTCCTGGACAACCCCTGTCGCACGGCTGCCAACAAGCCAAACTCTTCCCATGGCCCCGGATAAGGTAAGGGAAAGGTAGGTAAAGGTAGGTAGTAGAGCATGTTAGCGGATAGTGGAGTTGAGATCGACTCGTCCCAACGTTAAGCTCAAGTCAATACGACGAGACACAGATCCTCGTCTGTTGAGACGTCAACGCGGAGAAGGTTGTTTTTGCGCTTATCCATCACATCACGATGATCTTGGGGACTGGGTCTTTTCGACTTCAGCTTGGTGTTCACAGTGTTTCGGCTGAAGGTCGTTAGCGGGGCTGTGGTCGGGACGGCTAAGGAACCGGGGCCCAGCGCAGACGGGACTGGCCGGGGCTTGTGCCGGCACTTCAGTCCACGTCACAGTATCACCCCTGCCCTGCGGGGGGCGGCGGCGGCGGCGTCGGCGTCGGGTGACACAGCTGTTAGCCTGAACACCCTCCCCCCACCCTGGGGTATGAGTAGCCTATTATTTATTTAAATTTCTTATATTAGTCTTAGTACACTACTTTATCCCTTAACTCTTTATCCTACTCTTCTAATACGATCTAAGTAATTAATAAAGTCCTTAGTAGAGTAGCTTTATAAATAGTATATTTATTACTCTAGAGAACTATAGTAAGATTTTATTCTTTCTAATATATTACCTTTTATTAATATTTCTTATAAGTATAGTATAAAATTTAAATCTATAAACTTATTAACTATAACTTAACTTACTTCTAGAAATAAGTATTAAAAATAAATATAGTAATAATATTTTTAGTATTAAACTTAATAATACTTATAAAGAACCTTTATACTCCTAATTATAGTTTTTATATATTTTTAGTAATTACTAGAGGGTTAGTATATATAGCGCCCTCTAAGTTAAAGTTATTATTAAAGTTATTAAGTTATTAATTTATTATTATATTAATTAATAAATAGAGTATTAGCTACTTATTTTATTACTACTTTTCTTATATAAAGTAAAGTTCTTAGAACTTTAGTAACTAAGGTTACTATAAAGAAAAGTTATTATACTTTATTTACTTTATTTTTATCTCTCTTAAGACCTCTATATCTTTTAGTACTAAGTATAGTACTTCTATATTCACACCTTAGGTTATATCTATTAGGGTTATTTAGTCCTTTTCTATATCTGTACCTTGCTATATATTGTACCTCGGCTGTTGGCCTGAACTTAGTGTCGAACCAGACCTGACGCAGAATGGGCAGTGGGGCCTGACGCTGGCACTGATGATCCTGGTCTTGTTCCTGACAAGAGGTAGACTGTCACTGGCTGCATGGCTCTGTTCAGGCGTCCAGGGGATGTCCCTCAAACTTGGCAAACCGGGAAGCGGCGATTTCTGATTTCTGCAGAGCAGCAGAGTTGACGCGGCGCCATGTTGTGCACGCGTCTCTCTCAGCGAGGCTTGCGAGGTGCGAGGGCAGAGTCATGTGTGGCGCCAGGCAGGCCGCGACCTTCATGAAGACACTGACCGTTGGACTTGACGTGTTCCACGTGTGCGACTATTTTCCGACGTCATACCAAGTGCTTCCTGAGATCCAGCAGAAGCTTGAATGGGAGTAACGAACCATCAGCCAATGATTGCTGAGAAGGAGGAAAGCTGGGTGCTTATGTCTCGGATGCAGCAGCAGGCGAAAGACAGCGGATAACAAACATGCACCAATCAAGGAGGTAAGATGCGCAACTGTCAGAACTTAAGTCAACTTGAATGAGCTTTCGCTTCATCTTGACATCGGTATCGGTATCTGTCCAGTGCCTGTCGACGGCATGTGGGTGACATCCTCCCCGATCCACTGACAACTTGGAAGTCGTGACCTGGGACCGAAGCTAACGAGAGTGTGCTTTCCACGACCAGATTTCTTTTCTACTGCGTATATCCAGGCACCCCTGCCCCTGCTCCATGTAGCTCTTATCTCTTATCTTGCGCATCTCACCTTATCTGGTGTGGATATCAGCAGGCAGGCACAGCCAGCACAGCCAGCACACCACACAGAGACAAACAGAGGCAGCCAAGACATGACGAGAGAGCAGCTGCTCGTACAACCCGTGGACCTACCCATTCACGCCTCCATCTGCTCAAACTGGAACCAACCCAAGACAGGAGCACAACATGCGCCTGCCGCCGCCCACACTCACCCTCCGAACGCCACCAAGACCGGGTGTGTGACATCGCTCTTTCCTGATCAGGGCCTGCGTCACTGTCACTGCTTTGAAAGGCACCTTCGCGATGGATGGCGATGGTGAGGAAGGCAGCCCCTCCGTCTACCTACCTTAAGGTAACTTACCTTAACTAGGTATAAAGACGTGGGCCGTCGTCCTCTGTCGTCCTCCGTCGTCCAGCATCATCACCCCTCACCTTCACCATCGTCTCTTCTGTTGTCTTTCCCGTCTTCTACCTACTCATTCACAGCCATTCCACCTGAATAACCACCACTCAACGTCACAATGTCCCACGTCTGCTACGTCGTTCCCCCCTACCTCCTCCGTGGCATAGCCGACGCCCAGTGCAACGAGGATCATGTCAGAGACGCTGCTCGCCGTGCTCTCGAGCTCCGCGACCAGTGGACCGCCCGCCGTGCCGAGCGTATGGCGCTTCTTTGCACTCCCCGCGGCGCTCGCCACGCCCACGTCCCCATGGTCCCCCAGAGCATCGTCCCAGACTTTCTTCTGAAGCACATCGCCGACAACGAGGATGTCGACAAAGAGACGCGCGCCCACGCCCGCCGTGATCTCGAGCACATCCAAGGTGTCCAGCGTCAGTACCAGACCCAGCAGCAGCAGGGCGACCAAAAGGGCCTCTCCCAGGATCAGGATCCAGCGTCGTCCGCGTCCGTCTCCGCCCTCGCCGCCACCGTCCCCGGAAAAGAGGACCCGAAGACTCCAAAGACGGAGAAGTTCTACAGAGCCATCTACGACGCCAAGAACACTGATAACGAGCAAGAACTTCCTGGCAGCGTCGTCCGTGTCGAGGGACAAAAAGAGACGAAGGACAAGGCCGTCAACGACGCCTACGACAACGTGGGCGAAGTCCTCAAGATGTACAAGGAGAAATTCGACTGGGTTTCCATTGACAACAAGAACATGAACGTCATCAGCTCCGTCCACTTTGGCAAGAAGTACGAGAACGCCTTCTGGGACCCCGAGCGCCTGCAGATGGTTTTTGGCGACGGCGGAGAATTTCTGAATAACTTCACCGGCACTATCGATGGTAAGTCTCCTCTCCCCTGGTTAGACGACGACAACGACGACAACGACGACAAAGGACGACGAAGGACGACAGAAGCTAACGGCAGCAGTCATCGGGCACGAATTGACCCACGCCGTGACCGAGCACACCAGCCCCCTGGACTACCAGGGCATGAGCGGCGCTCTAAATGAGCACGTCTCCGACGTATTCGGCATCATGGTGAAGCAGATCGTCGAGAAGGAGACCGCCGAGGATGCCGACTGGCTGATCGGCGAAGGCTGCATCATGCCTGGCGTCAAGGGGGTTGCTCTTCGGAGCATGAAGGAGCCCGGCACCGCCTACGACGACCCTCGTTTCGTAAGTGTTCCTCGTCCCCCGTCTCTGTCACCCGTCGTCGTCCCCCGTCTTCGTCCCCCGTCTTCGCCCCCCATCTTCGTCCCCCGTCTCCGTCCCCCGTCTCCGCCTCTATTGGGCTTCCTAACCGTCCGTAGGGCAAGGACCCCCAACCGAATAACTTCAAGGACTACGTCCCCACTTTCGAAGACAATGGCGGCGTCCATATATACTCCGGAATACCCAACAAGGCTTTTTACCTAGCCGCCAAGGGATTCGGGGGCTTCTCGTACGAGAAGGCGGGCCCCATCTGGTGGAAGACCATGCAGTCAGGTCGCATCCCGGCCCGTTGCACCTTCATCCAGTTCGCTGATGTGACTGTGGAGGTCGCAGAGGAGCTCTATGGCGATGAGGCTGGAAAGATTGTGCGCGGCGCCTGGAATGAGGTTGGGGTGACCAGAAAGGGCAACTAGGAGCCAAAGCCAGACCCAGGCTGCCCGCCCATGTGAGAGGATAGACGCATTACACCTATAACCTTGGCCTGAGTTATCAAATAAACGTATAGTCAGTATGAATAAGCCAAGAATGACCGAAGACTTTGCCAGAGACAAGAGAAACAGTGACAACGCCCGGAAGGGACCATAGCCAAAAGGGATCACGACCAGGAGTAAAAGCTACAGATAAGAGCAACAGTGATAGATAGAAGTGAAAACAACTAGAGGTGACGGCGACTAAGGTAGTAGTGAAAATCCTACTGTCTCAAGAGGAACGCAATAGGCAGCTGAAAATATGAATTGCGGAGACCGGCGTTGACCCGTTTCGCCGTCGGCGATTGTGGAGAAGAGAAATCGCCGACAGATTCCTTCTAAAAGCTCCGATGACTAGGTAGTGAAAAGGAAGCCAAGACCTTTGGGATCCATAGACTCTGAACGTTGCATCAATCAACAAATGGGCCGCTGCCAGATTGCCATAATAAGCAGGAGTTGCCAAGAATTTCTTACACGGGCTCCAAGGTAGGCGTGGACACCAATGAGGCTGTATCAATCCAACACACGACACTGCCTGCAGGCACTCCCCTTCGATGAGGCTCTCATTCCGGAGCAAGGAGAATTGAAAATCGAGAATCAGAATACCAAAAACTCCGATATGGCTTCTGGTGTCCCTGCCTTGAGCCCCAAGGCTGAGCATCCGGGACGGACTCAGCTACGAGTTGTTGAAAACGCAAAGTAACGATGTATCCCGTCCGCCGTCCCGCGCGGGACATCTGACTCGTCTGCGGCTTGGCAGATCGTCTTGGAAGATCACCAGTGTCTTTGTAGACTCGCATGCGTGTGTGGCCTGGAAATAGCACCTTAGAGATCGCCTGGTAGCTTAGGATGCCGGCGCAGCTCACCTTGGCATCGTCAAGACGGAGCTTGCATGTCGAATTCCCATTATCTTTTGTAGTATAATAGTATTGGCACCACTTTCACTTCATGGTTTTTAATTATTCTTTCGTTGAATCAAGTCACATAAATCTCATCTGATTCTTTTCATACAAAGACCCAAAAGCTAGACGTTACAAGACAGCGAACACGATGACGAAGACAACGGCTAGGACGGCCAGAGCGATTCTCTTGCTCGTTCTTCTCATCATATTTGGAGGCGCTGCGACCGGTCTCACATTTGCGCCATGTTATGCCACGCTTTGCCCGGAAGACTTCTTCGCTTTCGAGTCGAGGATCCATATTGCGATATTCTACGGCATGCTCGGCGCCGTCAGCCTACTACTTTTCCTGGGTTCGACATTTCGAGCCGTGGAGAGATGTGGCAACCTCACCCTGATCTCTTCTCTTCCGCTCATACACAAAAGAGTTACTCTCGGCGGACTCCTAGTTGTCGTTTGGATTGCCTGCGTCACGATGGCGACCACCGCGATGTGGCTGCCTGCGCACTGGCGATACTGGGGAGAGCGTACGGATCCGCTCAACTGGATGTCGGCCAAGATCGCCCTGACCGTCACGGGAGTCACTGGCCATTATGCCGACATACTCCTCGGCTTGTCCATCGTCCCGGTCTCAAGAAACAGTCTCCTCGGCCATGCTTTTGGGGTTCATCAGAGCACACTGTTATACGCGCACAAGCTCGCCACGTACATGTGCACACTTGCAGTCCTTGCCCACGGTGTAGGCTACGGTGTAAGTCCCACTCATCCTTATACACCTTGTCATCACATCCCATAACAAATGACCAGATCTTCGCCCTGGACCCTAGCAAAGACGAAGATGAAGCAAAGCTGCAGCTGTTCAGCAACGGCAACCCGACAATGACCGAGCTCGAGAGCCAGGAACGGAGCGCGTGGTACGGAACGGTGACTTATACGGGCTTGGGCACCTTCGTCTGCATGCTCATGATCGTCGCCACCGCGCTGCCCAGGATCCGGCGGCTGCACTACAACACCTTCTACAACGCCCACATCATCTTCAGCGTCGCCACGTTCGTCGGCGCCAGCATCCACGCCAGCTCGGACTTTTACCTCCTGCTCCCGGGGCTCTCTCTCTGGGTGGCCGACTGGGTTTGGCGCCTCTTCCGCGGGGAGGGCGGTTCGCTGCGCACGCAAGTTGCCGTCTTGGAGAACGCCGGCAGCGGGTGGTACCGCGTCTCGCTCGAGGCAAGGGCCAAGTTCGAGCTTGACTCGGCATCGGAGGCGGAGAGCTCCGCGCCGGCGGCCGGGTGGCCGTTGTCTCTGTACTATCTCAGCATACCGTCGGTCAGCAGACTGCAGAGCCACGCGTTCACGGCCGCGGTGTCGAGTACATCGCACTCCAGACCGGTGTTCCTGTTCCGACGGTCGCAGGGAAAGAAGTCGCAGAAGGCGTTGGAGAAGGAGTGGACCTGGGCGGTGGGCTCTCTGGTCGGCAACGCCGGGCTCCAGCGGCAGCTCGACGTTCGGGTCGAGGGGCCGTATCAGCCCACGGACACGGGGTTCGAGTCGGCGTCTCATATTATTTGCATCGTCGGCGGAACGGGTATCACTGGCGCGCATAGTCTTGCCCTCTGGTGGCTGAAGGCGAGGAGCACGGCGGGAGATACCAAGTTCAGTCTCGTGTGGACCGTCCGCGAGCGTGAGTCGGTCAATGTTCAAGAGTGGTTTGATCTCGTGAAGGCGGCGGAGTCTCAGACGAACATGACGGTCTCAGCCCACGTCAGCGCGGAGATGGGACGGCTGGATCCTCTGGCGTTCATCCGTCAGAGTCTTGGCCTTGGCCTGGATATGTCGACTGAAGGACGTGAGAAGGGGCCGGTGTCTACTGGGACAGCTTGGGTGTACAGTTCTGGGCCTGAAGGCCTTCTCCAGGCTACTCAAAAGGCGTGCCAAGCTACAGACAAGGATATTCGTAGATTGGTCAGAGATCAGGCTCCTGTTTCTGCGAAGGACATCAGCTGGTACATTGCCAAGTGGGAGGTTTAGGCCAGAGGCGCTGGCAGAATAGTTTTGCGGCAACAATGGCATTGACACTGAAGGAGACCATTTTGATACAATATTTCCGACGAAAAATAAGGGATCTCCGTAAATTTACCTAGTAAGCATAGTTTTCAATAGACGCTTGACTACTGAATAGTTATATCGTAGGTCGATTTCATCATCTGTATCTTAGGAAGACTTCCGGAGGATCACCTTCGTCTCGGAATATGTAGCTCGTCTATGGTTAGTTCGTGATCCGGATTTCCATTCAGACGGGTCTCGGGCCGTTGTGGGGCACTCGCTCCGTGTCTCCAACATCGGCACCCTCCCTCGGCCCGAGCTGCCCAAACTTCTAGTAAAGCGACCTCGTCATCTTGCCATAACCAGTAAAGGCCAGGTGATGCCGTCGGCTAGAAGGAGACGAAATCACGTCGTGAAGTTACAAATGCAAACATAAGCTTGCCGAGATATTGCTGCTGCTCCGAGGTAGTCTGCCGGCCCGAGACCTCGACCGAAGAAAGACCACCCGCCTTGCCTCAGAGCACAAAGTGCGACTGATTGAAGACTTACACCTGTTCGACATATGGTCATCTTCCAACGACATCTGCCATACACCATGCTTTCTACCGTGAGGCGTGCTTCCGCTCCTCCACTTCGGCGCTCCTTGGGGACCACCAGACACGGTAGTCGCAATGCATCAACATCTACACGACCACCTACATGGTGGAGGCAGATGAGATCGTCAGCACCAGACAATAACATCATCAGACTCATAAGTGGAGGTGCTGGCGTGGGAATCATTGGGTTGATGTTGACGGGGCGGGCTGATTCAACGTCAACGGATGATCCTCGAGACCTGAGAGCGCTGTCTTCTGTGCCTTTAAGCAAGCTTTTCTCAGGATGGATGTGAGTTGCCCGCTTCAGAAGAGGGTCTTTTCTTTGCGGGAACGAAAACCGAGTTGACCTCATGAATCAGTGCGTTCGCATTTTGCTCCTGGCCAGGTTGGGTCAATGCAAGCGAGTCTCTCTACAACTTCATGTCTACGGTCCCCATCATCTCCTACATCACGCACAAATTCGTCATGGGCACATTCTTCAACCAGTTTCTCGGCGGAGAGACGACAGAGGAGTGTATCCCCAAGATCAAAGCGCTTCGCCAAGAAAACATCGGCACTTTGCTTGGCTACAACATCGAAGCTGAACTCGACGGCTCAAGCAAAGATCCCGACCTGATCCTCGCCCAGACCCAGCATGTTCTCTCCTCCATCGAGGCGCAGGGAAGACTCGCCAGGGAGTTTTGGCCGGACACCGCCGCCACCGGAGGCGACAACAGATGTTGGGTCAGAATCAAGATCACCGGCCTTTTGCCCCATCCTGTTGCGCTATACAATGGTTCAAAGGCAATTCTGGCTGCGAGAAGCGCAAAGGGTTTGGATGAGAATGTCCCGTATCCAGGCCTGCCCCACGACGGCGACTGGGACGCCGCGCTAAACGGCCAAGGCGTCACTCAAACTGACCGCGAGCAGCTCCTCAGGCTCCGGGCTACCATGGAGGCCATCGCGGGCAAGGCACGAGACAACAATGTGCGCATCGTCATTGACGCGGAGCAGACCTGGTACCAGCCAGTTATCGATGCTCTCACGGACGAGTTGATGCAGAGATACAATGCCTTGGATGGCGGTCCAGCGACCTGTATCGCCTCGTTCCAAGCCTACCTGAGACGCTACCCGCAACTTCTCGACCAACAGATCCAGCGCGCGGAGGAGAAGGGCTACAAGCTGCTTTTCAAGCAGGTAAGGGGGGCGTACATGGTGACCGAGGCAGAGCGGTGGGAGGAGGAGGGTCACAAAGGGCTGGGTCCGGTATGGTCAACCAAGGAAGAGACAGATGCGAGCTACAACTACGGCATTGAGAAGGCGCTCTCGACTATTGGCGAACAAGCGCGCCAGACAGGGGCTTCTAGATTAGGGGCGGTCTTTGCCACGCACAACTCCATCAGTGTCGATCTCGGGATTCGATTGCTGGAGA